AATTCTGTTTTAAGCTGGATTGTTTCAAGGTAAGGTTAGACATATATTTTTTTTTCTTTTGGCTATGAATTTGAACTACCCCACATCGACCAATATATAAGCCTTTTACAGTATTTTAATCTAATGTTGTTAATTTCATCATGGGAGGTCACAGATACTGCAGTTATGAAATGTTGAAAAGTGGTGGGATGGTGGTGGTTGTGGTGGGATGGTGGTGGAAGTGATCTTGATGATGGTTGTTGTGGTGTGGTGGTTCTATTTTTGCTTGGTTTTCTGCATGGACCCCAAATTTTTGACTGGTCCACTGTGTTACCCATGTTAGTATTACTTACGTCATGGATGTGTGTATCATCTTTGTGAATGCTACAACTGCTCTCCCAGGAGAAAAAGAAGTCATGGCTGCCTTCTGTCAGGACCAAATCAGATTGGTGCTGCACGGCTGGTGATCAGCTAATGCTTGAGCAGCACAAACTCTCAGGTACAGTAGTTAACTAGGGAAATGGCCCCCCTGACAATGACTGCATTGATCCTGACCATAGTATATCAGGTGGTAGATATGTAGCAGGGATCATTAGATTCTAAACACCCATGGTAGAGGCCTTGCAGTCTACACTAGAATACCAACAGCCTGCCATCTTTCCCTGTATCGTAACTATCTATTTTTGTGAGAGAGAATGTCTGTGTGCCTGCCTGTATTCACCTAATTGTGCTTGCGGGGGTTGAGCTCTGCTCTTTCGGCCTGCCTCTCAACTTTTACTAACTACTAACTTTTTTTTCTTCCCCCCCCAGGAAGCAGCCCGTAACAGCTGTCCAACTCCCAGGTACTTATTTACTGCTAGGTAACAGGAGCATCAGGGTGAAAGAAACTCTGCCCATTTTGTTTCTCGCTGGCGTCAGGAATCGAATTCTGGTCCACAAGATTACGTGTGCAGCATGTTGTCCACTCAGCCACCAGCCCCCTATGCTGTATGAGCACGTTGTTGCAAACATCCACATCATTATTGCAACTCATTATTTAAACATATAATTAATAAATAAAATTGTCATTTATGATAATTAGAAGCCACTTATACAAAATATTATATTTTATTGATATAACAAAGCTCTAGTGATGAAAAGAATGATGACATAATATATTTGCTCTCAGTATATAAAAATTTATCTGGTGTAATTTATCATACAAGTATCATTATCATGCATTTATTCAAATACAATCAAATAAAATACTAATTTTACATAAAGACATTTAACAAATAAAACATGAAATATTAGTGAACAAGAGAAATATCAACATAGACAAGTCAGTCTTGGCTCGGTGAAGACTTGGTTGGAAGCAGAGCCATGATAGTCTCACAAGAAAGCAAAGCCAATATTATACACACAGTACAGAATAATATCAGGGATTAATTGTATTTCCATGTGACTAAACATAATAGCTATAATGAAAATGTTTCACTGTAAGTGTACTTGATATTATTTTGAAGAACAGAAATGCTTATTTTACTAATGAAAATTAACACCAATATAGCTTTCTTTAGCGTGACATGAGCCTTTTTATTGTCAACAGTATCTTCAAGTGTGTAACACGAGGCTTTGACTATACATAGTATTCTCAAATGTGACAAGAGCCTATGACTGCAAATAAGAGGATTTTGAGTATCTTTAACACATTAATAAGCCCTTTACTGGTCTGTACTGACCCAGACATTGCCTCGGTTGTGCCATACTATGCAAAGCCCAGCCCGAAAAAAGAAGAAAAGAATTTCCTCATTATATGTTAGTAGTGAAGCATGTAGTGCATGAACATACTAATTTTGAAACATTTCCTAAACAATACTAATTACTAAGGGCACTGAAGCTTATACTGTATCATAAAATCATTGAGAATCTTGGAGAGATTTTAAATGGCTTCACAAGTAACTCGTCTATCTCAGGAATGCAGCTCTCAACTTTGTAGTTTGAATAGAAAAATGATCTCTATAATAACCTTCCAACGCGATCACGAGGAATGATCCGGAGTTCAGAGCCATGTTTCAAAAACACACTCCCTGAAAAAGCAGGCAAGAACTATGAATTACCAGTAAATAAATCTGTCTTGTGAAGCATTATGTGAAACACAATGCTTCACAAACAATTAAAAACACAATGAGAACTAAATCTAAAATTTAGTGATTTGTAAAACAGTTCACTCAAAAAAAAGAACTAGTGGTATTGAATACCTATTTTTTACTTTATTAACACTATTGCCAAACAACAATACAGTAAAATTAGTTAATATTCTCCACAACATTTATTCCTACAACTATTTAATGTAATAAAATTACATAAAAGCAGTAATTAATGAGTGCAAATACATTATATACTGAAACGTCAGATATTTCTTTAATATATGAACGAGACTTTTACTCTTGGTAATTCAATTGGGATTTATGATAGAACATGATTGTAATACGAGTGAGCACGAGCATGGAAGAATGCTTAAGAGAGCTCCTTCCTGATAATTGATAATACGTGGGGGGAAACACCAACAAGTAAACAAGACTGGCCTACCTGCAGTCTGACTCGGGTTAATACCGATGCCGTCATCAGTGATGATGGCAGAGGTGGCCGGAGGTACCTTGAACTCTTCTGCAGCAAACTTTAACACGGCGGTAAAGGGAGTATTGTCGGGCACACTCAGTCTGTAATATATTCCGGTTTTACGTGAGAAGACATACAGTATTTAATAATTTGTTAATAACGATACTGTTTATGACCCGAACCTACAAATTACTGTACCGTTATTATATATTGACACTGAAAAGCTGAATGGTGGGTTCTATCAGCACTTCCAAGGAGTCATTACACATCTATAAAGCATTTGGAAAAAATTATCAATGAGTTCAACCCTTTTGCATTGACACCCTCTGAAACCTTTCAAATCCAAGCTTCGAAAGCAAAACAATGTTTCTTTATATATTTATTACATTAACACTTTCGCGCTTTCGATTAGAGATAACTCGTCACTGGTTTTTCTTACGATTCCGCATGACTGCCTACTTTTCTCGTCAATCGAAAAAATATTTCTATAAATTCCATTTTTTAACAGAAATGGATGGGGATACTTTTGTTTTGTAGAGAATTTATTTGCGCATTTTTTGGTACCAGAATGAATATTATATCACATAAACTTCTATGAGTAAAAAAAAAAATACACAAAGTATGTTTGGGGGTGTGGCGAGCGTGTGGCAGTGGGTTCCCTTTAGCCGTTGATATATCCAACACGTGGGAAATATTTGTATGTGTTATGTATATGTCTGTGTAGGGAATTTTACTGCGATCACTCTCATACAAATTATAAAATGTTTCAACAAGTATAAACATGACAAACATCAAACGAACGAAAACAATGCGTTCGTTTCTGCCGCGAACGCATACTGAGCGACGTGGTTCTATATTTGGCGCTTCTCTTACACATGCTTTGTACAAATGTTATACAGTTCATCTTATAGAAAATTTTATTGCGAACACATTGGTATAAAAAAGAAATACGTACATAGAAAAGTAGGGTCAAGAAACGTATAAACTTTCCAAGCATGATTTCCCCCCTGTGTTTTTGCCAGTGCGCTCGCGGCTAACTACTCTCCACTTCACACACTCTTGCGGGTGGGCAATTACCTATATTAAACATTCATATGCATATGTCCGTGTAGAGAAATTTATTGCGATTCCAATGATACCAAAATTAGCGATGTAGGACAACTGTAGGCTTCGCAACCATTAAGAGAGTGGAAACATTTTGTTGCTGTTTGGCGCTCTCGGCGAGTGATCTGCATAGTTTTTTATTTGGTGTTGATACTCCTTATGCTTGGGCGGCATTTTATAGGTATGCTCTTATAGACAATTTCATTGCGAACACAGTGATACCAAATTTAAATACGTGCGCCTTCAATTATTGTCAGGACAGTCAAAAGAGTGTACACTTTTTCGGTCTTACCGCGTAGGCGCGCGAAGTGCCGAAAGCATCTGGGGTATTGTTTTTTTTTGAGCGCCGAGAGCGCGAAAGTGTTAATAGAAAAAAAAAATCCCATTATACTATTAAAAAGTACACAATTGATTCATTATCCATGAATCATGGATAAACAAACTTTAACAAGCGTAAAATTAAAATGCTGAAAAACAAGGACCTGTTGCTTTCATAACCTGACATTCACAATAAAGTTACTGAAACAATGTGACTCATTCACTATTCAACAATAAAACACTTGTTCAAGGAAAGTAAACAAACTACAGTAACAATATGAAATACTTTATACTGTACTCTAATTTGTTACATTACATACCTTGTAATACTATACTGTACTACAATGCTTACCCCCCCCCATTCAACCTATCAATAATTGAATGGAATTATCTTAAGAGTCATGCCCAAAACACTTTGCATAATAGTGGCTTTATTAAATAAAGCCACTATTATGTAGCCATATAACAAATAAGCAACTACTCTACCATGTTGTTGTTCTGTATGTAAAAATGATTATACATTACTGTATTATATTACCTGCCTTGTAATACTATACAGTATACTGTACTGTACTATATTACCTTCCTTGTAACACTACCATACCATACCAAACTATATTACCTGCCTTGTAACGTTGCAACCCGTTCTCGCAAATTTAATAAGTCAATATTGACTTATTAAATATGTGCATAGGTGACATACTTAACATAATAGTTTCCCTTGAAAAGCTTCATAGAAAACACCGACCTTACCTAACCTACTTAGTATGTTAAGATAAGCATCTTATTGCTCCGTAATTACAATTATTACCTACCTATAACTATAATAGGTTAAGTAACAATTGTACGAAGCTATAAGATGCTTATTTTAACATACTAAGTAGGTTAGGTAAGGTCGGTGTTTTCTATGAAGCTTTTCAAGGGAAACTATTATGTTTAGTATGTCACTATGCACATTTTAATAAGTCAATATTGACTTATTAAATTTGCGAGAACGGGTTGAACACTACCATACTATAATGTACTATATTACCTACCTTGTAACACTACTATACTATAACGTGCTATATTACCTGCCACTGACCCAATTTCATAGTTTAGAAACATTTTACTCGGGATATTGAAACAGCCTATTTTATCATATTTTATTATAAAATAGAATGGAATATTTATAATAGAAAATTTTAGAGGAATTAGTAATTTTATAATGCAATGTGAATAAATTAATCCATAACGTATCAATAAATAATAGGAGTACTGTATTATCAAAAATGAAAAGAAAAGCAATAAATTTGTAAACCTAATCAGCATTAACATTTTTTATAAAAATACAGCAAGATAATTATCAAAATATAATTTAAATGCTCTATTGTAACACCAAATTTCACAAATCTTAAGAGAAGCTCAAACTATATTATATAATGTGGCTTAGCGACTGCATGATGTCTGGGATGCTACAGCAACACATGCAAGTTGTATCGTGAGAGAAATGGCATTTATGTAAAGTATCAGCCTTAAAAACACTTCTTGACAAAGATACTTATGCACAATGAATTCACAAGAATTTGATGTGTCTGAGAAAACATCTAAGTCATGCTATGGGATCGAACCTATGTCCTTGGACTCTCTGGGCAATGCACTACCAACTGAACCATGATGAGCTCAAAAGTCTCTCAAACCGAATAATTTTCAGTTATATCACTACTAACACTAATTTTTCCAAGTGTAGATATACAGTGGTACCTCAGTTAACTAATTTAATCCGTTCCAGCACCGAGCTCGTCATGTGAAACACTCGTCTTGCGAAACAACACTGTCGTCGGAGGCGTCCAAGAACCAGCGGGAACGCTAGGAAGCACCACGTGGTTTTCTCATTAACTGAGCAGAAGCCCGTCAATAGAGACAAATTTTCTGAGGGGCTTGCTCGTTACCCGAAATGCTCGTAGATGGAGCCGCTTGTCACTCGAGGTTCCACTTTACTAATAACTGGTAGAAAACTACAAAATCAGTGATACATAATAGTTCTTCATCTTTCCATTGTATTATGATATTTAAAGGCACACCTTTTTTATGCACTGCACGGTGGTTAAGGACAAATAGAGAATGGCAATGATATTTAACAAATACAGTATAGTAATGAATTGTACAAAATGTAATATAGTACAGTACTGTATTTGTATTAAACAAATTTAGACCCAAGGCCTAGCATTTAAGCTGCAGTTATTCAGAGATGAAATGGAATAGGTGCAATATATATATAATAATAATAGGTACAGTACAGTATACTAGTGCAATACTATACTATTTAAGACCTGCCCATTACCAAGAAAATTTAATAATGTTACCATTGTACAGCTTTTCATTGAAAATGTGTATCTTAAAACATTATATTGAAAATGTTACCGACATTACTAGACTTTTCTTGCAAAAAGACTATCCATTATGCGTCTCTGAATGGCGCATTATGTCGGAATTTGCATCTCTGATTATGTCTAGCCACGTAGCCCCGCCGTCTTGTAAACACCAACTGCACACTGCCTCATGTGCATATTTAGCTAGTTCCTTATTTTGTAATAGTGATGCATACACACCCACCAAATCATGGTAGCTTAGGATGGAAGTAGCTGGATTTTGAGGCATCCAACAGCAGCCTTCAGAACTATAGTAAGGTTCTAATTTTTGTACCTCTTTGTTCAGAGTTGAAAGGACTAATTTAAAGAGATTTGAACTGTACCGTAAAACTTCACATAATAATGCTAATGGGAGAGTACAGATGCCACGGACCACACTCCTATGTCTGCTGTCTTGAGGAGACTGCAACACACCTTCAAACCAGTCAATTATCCGTGGACCTAAACTACAATTTTCATTATCATCAAGTTTGATAACCTCAAGGATCCTTGAAATTCCACTCGGCTCCATGACTATTTTGCAGAGTGTGTTCTGCACCTGCTCGTGTCCTGAACTGTTGGCAGCTTCCAGCATTAACCTCATTTCCAGTCTTCTCTTTATATTATTGTCAGTTGATTCTCTTAGTGTACTTAATAGTTGCTTATATGAATCTTGTTGCTGTGAGGCTTTCTCGTTGAGCATAGTGGTAAGATTTGGCCCCAGAGATGTGCGAGCCATGTGTTGGATATGCTCCTTCACATCAGAGTCCAATAACTGGTTCTGCAACAAGAGTTCAAGTAGAAGTTGACGAGCATTCTGGAGATCGTGCAACTTCAGTACCCACTGGGATTGCCTAGCTAGGCGAGAGAGTGCAATTTCCATGCTGTCGTTGTGCTGAAATTTCCTTGCTGCTCTCTCACAGTAGGCAGCCCAGGACACTGCTTTGTTAATGCCATCCTCAGTCCAGGTGGCTTTACTGGCAGCAGCTGGAAGGAGGTCATGCATAAAGTACAACATGTTGTGGAGAACATCCTTCCACATGTTGAGCACTCAGATTTGTCAACAGGTTTTGTTCTCCTAGTACAGATGATACAAGCAATTAACTTCTTGTCAGTATGAATGCAATTTTCCACTTGTGAGGGTGTCCCTGTAGCAAGATCATTATAGCTTCACCTGCTACAGGGTTCATCAGCCACTTTCCTCAACAGGTGTCATTGTTCCTCTTATGCTATTTACATATCATTAACATTGGAAAATATATTTTCTAATAGAATAATTGTTTAATCGACTTAACAGATTGAATTAAAATGGCATTAAAAAGACAAAATTGTGCACTACAGTGGAGTACTTGTTGCTCCTTAGCTAATAACATTAATTTGAAAACTTGATATCATCCAAGAAGATAATCTTGCTTCTGCTGAACAAACAGCCTTCCTCCCTCCTCAGTAGACAACTGTAATCAGCTCAGGTCAGGCTTCATCTGCTGAGAGAAGAGGAAGGCCGCATTCAGAATTGACTTCTGACAACATTTTGGTTTCTATGTCTATTCGTAACATTCATTACACATCACATTCCATTCCATCACTGCACTTTGTACACAACTTTGATACCCTGATAGCTGCATACTTCAAGCCTAATTAAGAAGACCTATTTTGTAACAAAACATTTTGAAATAACCTTGGTAGGATTATTAACCATAAAATAGTTTAAACCCTTGTAGTGGGCTGTCGCTTTCCTTCATGTCTGCCCAGGAAAAATATGCTATAACGCTTAAAAACTTGTGTGGAAAAATATAATCAGCTATATTTTTAATGTTATTAATATCTAATATAATACTTGTTATAATAAATTTGAGAGAGCATCTTAGCATATCCTTTGTAAGGAAAAAAAATGGTGCACAGAAGTTGTCATAGCTGTGTTGTAACCAATTGGTCCTACCTTTAATTTCTCTGCTCTATGGAGAGACATTTGGATATGTTTGCTTATACGCAATGTTTCTGTTTACCTATCAATAAATAAGTCCCCAGGAGTAAGTGGACTGCTGTGAGCTGCATCCTGGAGGTTGGTCTGTCTTGGGCTATGGCAATCTCAATAAGACTAATAGGTTTTCTGTCCTTGACAATAGGAAACTAATATAATTAAAAACAAAGGGTTGTGTACCCACAATAAATGATACATCCCAATCTGTAAGTGAAGCTTCAGCAGTCATATTGAAACTTTGTAATCCCAGTACAGCTCCAAACATTTCTCAAAGTTACTAACACACTTTTGTGAGTTCTTCACTCAATACCTCCAAAATATATTGTTCCCAAGTTTTCAAATTGCTAAAAATGAAACTGTGACAATATGTAATGAACAACTGAATAAGGTTTGCCAGTCAACAAGTGAAACAGTTGTATCTTTAGGGGCCTGACAGCCGAGTGGACAGCGCTCGAGACTCGTAGTCCTAATGTTCTAGGTTCGATTCCCGGTGGAGACGGAAACAAATGGGCAGAGTTTCTTTCACTCTGATGCACCTGTTCACCTAGCAGTAAATAGGTACCTGGGAGTTAGACAGCTGCTACAGGCTACTTCCTGGGGGTAAGTAACAAAAAGGAGGCCTGGTCGAGGACCAGGCCGCATGGACTCTAAGCCCTTAAATCATCTCAAGATGACCTCAAGAAGTTGACCAATCATGCAAAATGCAGTCTCAAATTAAAGCCTATACAAATTTTCTTTGTTAAATTTAGGTTCCACCAGAAAGCAGTATTTTGGTAATTTTTCTGCATATGAAAAATTGCAGCAAATTTTTGCTCCTAATAAATAGATGCCCTGATGTTTTGATTACAAATAAAAATGGTTCAAATGTTTTTGTGTATTACTGTACTGCTGATACTACGAAGTTAAGAAAACCTTCATGTTTAGATAATTTTCAAAATGCCACATTGATTGGGGTGATAAATAATATCCATGGTGCTGTAACAATGAGGCCATTGGCACAATATAACCAAATACAGGGTTCATATAACCCTGAATTAGGTACAAAACATTCTGCTTAACTTCCCAACAGAAAGAGCAAAAATTTAATTGGAGCCGGTCGGCTGAGCGAACAGCACACTGGACTTGTGATCCTGTGATCCCGGGCGCCGCCGAGAAACAATGGGCAGAGTTTCTTTCACCCTATGCCTCTGTTACCTAGCAGTAAAATAGGTACCTGGGGTGTTAGTCAGCTGTCACGGGCTGCTTCCTGGGGGTGGAGGCCTGGTCGAGGACCGGGCCACGGGGACACTAAAGCCCCGAAATCATCTCAAGATAAGGGGCCCTGCTGCTTGGCAAAACATGGGGCCCTGCTGTCCAGTAGGACAGGGGCCAGCTGCCAAACAGGACAGGGGCCCTGCACAATAACAATGTTCAAATTTATATAGTACAGTACTACAGTATTATAGTGCAAAGTGCAGCACAGTAATTCAGTCTGAGGGTACTCAAGAATTATTTGCATTCCACCATCGAATGCCTAGGTGAAAAATTGTTTAGTTAAACTTTATTTCTACTTAGATTGTTCAATAACAATATGCATCTATTTTAGTATAATGTTTGTACAATAATGAGTTCCATTATCTTTTTATTTTAAACGTAAATATTTTAAATTCTGATTTCCAAATACAACCCAGAATGGGGTCAGCATCATATGATGTGAATTAGCCAATAATTATATGACAGCAATGTAGTACAATAGTTTATTAAACAAACTTTCTCTTGGAAAAATTAATACCCAATCAGCGAGTTGCAGCGACGTGCTCTGGTGGTTGAATTGTATAACATGGCTCAAGACAACCCCTCATTAAATTTAATCTTAACATTTTAGAAGAAAAAATGGACCAAAACCAAGTACGTACCAAAAAGAGAGTAAATGCTGAAGATATTTCATATTAAATACAGTGACATCTCGGCTTATGAATGCCTCTATTTACGAACTTTTTGAGTTACGAGCTCAATTTCTTCGTAAAATTTAAATCGGGTTACGAGCTTTGCCTCAGGTAACGTAGTTTGTTGATACACGTATGAGCAACCTAGTGCATTGTTCCTGGTGGCACGGTCGCCCACGCCTCGGCTAACCTGTGTCTCCCGCTTAGTGACGACCGCGCTTGAATTCTTTGTAAAGAATTTCATGTTTTTTTGGGTTTTGAACATAAAAGTAATTATTATATATCACACCATGGGTACCAAGAAAGTCAGTGGTAAGGTTCAACCTAAGAAAACACATGTGAGGATGACCATAAAGCAAAAACAAGAGATCATTCGTAAACATGAAAATGGTACATGGGTTGTTGAACTAGCTAGGCAGTACAGGTACAGCAAATCTGTCAATGATATGCACTGTAATTGCTAAGAAAAAGGACATAAGTGCTAAAGTGGCAAAAGGCACATCAACAATCACAAAACAAAGAACACAAACACTTGAGGATGATGAAAAGTTGTTATTAACTTGGATACACAATAAGGAGTTAGCGGGTGATAACATTTCAGAGGCCATCATTTGTGAAAAAACAAGGCTATTGTATGAAGACCTTAAAAAAAAAAAACTGGAACGAGTGATACAGATACAAAACAGTTTAAGGCAAGCATGGGATGGTTTGAGAAATTTAGAAAAAGAAGTGGTATTCATAGTGTTGTGAGTTGGTGGAGGAACACAGCAAAGAACTGACCACCGAAGAAATCCTAGTCCTTCACAAGGAGCAGCAGAAAGAGGCAACTGAGAAAATTTCTTCAGGGAAGGAGGCAGTACAGAATGTCCGTTCCTCAACAATTAAGAAGTGGTGTAGACTATGGGAAGAAATGCAAACTTTTGTTGAAACAACTCACCCAGAGCAAGCTGTAGTAGGCCATTGCCTTAACCTTTTTGATGACAATGTGATGCCTCACTACAAACAAGTGTTACAATGTAGGGAAAAACAAGTCTCTATGGAAAGGTTTTTAGCAAGAAAGCAAGCAGTGAGCCACAAGCAGGTCCTAGTGGTACGCAGGTAAAACGAGCCAGAGATTACCCCAGAGAAGTGATCACTGCCTGATGTTATAATGGAAGGGGACTCCCCTTCCAAACACTAACACCTCTCCTCCTACCCCCTCTCCTAAGTCTTCTATATGCCAACAAGAGTCATCAATAAAGGTAAGCTATAACTTGTACATACTATAGTACTAAATATTTCTGTAAATTAGGTATGAAATCTATTTTTAAGTTAATATTTTGGGGAGTGTGGAACAGATTAATTCAACTTACAGTATTTCTTATGGGAAAATTCGTTTTGGGTTGCAAACTTTCGGCTTACGAACTGTCTCTGGGAATGGATTAAATTCGTAAACGGAGGGGCCACTGTATGCACAATGAATTTAAACGTACATGGAAATTCCAACTATTTATCCAACTATATGATTTTTTGTTTTGTTTTTTGAAGGGATGGGGGGGGGGGGGGTCTTGTTTTTGTTACAGAGGACCACTTGGTGTGCGAACGTAAGTTGTCCGAAAGTTCCAGTTTCCCGATTGGAGTTGGGGATTCCCGCTACACGAACTAAGTTCGGGTGAGGAAGCAGTCCGCCAACGGGGTGGTAGATGGTCTAGTTTGTCCACTGACCTTGTCGGGCACCATAAATCTAGGGTGCCTTCTACCCTGTGATGTCACAGAATCACAACCTATTGTTCCCATTGTTTTGATTTGTCATGAGGCTGGAGTGTTCATTCTGTGACTTTGTTGGATATATCTGCAATATCAAGGAACATCCGTGCACCATGTCGGCTCCAAATGCACACATTGTATCAGTGAAAGTATCAACAAGTGGGATACATAAAAGAGGTCAGTGATGACATTTGAGAAGAAAGTTGAAATAATTAAGAAGGTGGAGAGCGGAGTCCCGAGAAGTATCGTGTGTGCTGAATATGGCATTAGCAAAAGTAATGTTTTTTATCTTAACGCTAAACCCTATAATTTTTTACTATTTCTCTAAAAATGAAAATTGTAAAGTAATACAAAATAGAAAGGTAGTAGGTAAAGCAAAAATGGAGTGTTGATAATGCAGTGTGGGAATGGTACAAACAGTGGCGTGAGGTGACAAAGAAGCCAGTGGCAGGCTGACTACTCGTGGTAAAGACACGTGAATTTCATCAAGCAATGAAAATTACTCAGAAGTGTGTATACAGTGATGGATGGCTCAGAAGCTTTAAAACCAGCCATGGCATTAGGTTCATTAAAGTACACAGTGAAAGACAACCTGCTGACACTATTGGTACTGACAAGTATTCAAGAATAAGAGTAAATTTGCGGAGATGGTACAAGAACAAAATTTATCAACAGATCAAATTTATAATGCTGACAAGACAGGTTTATACTGGTGTATGCTACCCACAGACACGATGGCTCCAAGTGGTGAGGACGATCCTTCAGGTGGTTATAAACAGAACAAACAGAATTTCTTTGTTGTGCTGTGCAAATGCAGCTGGCACGCACAAATTTAAATTACTTGTGATTGGAATTAGCAAAAACCCCAGGGTTTTAAAAGTCAGCTAGGTGCCTTCCTGTGATTTAGAAGGACCAGTCAAGTGCGTGGATGTCTCGAGTAATATTTGCCGAATGGTTTAATAAGAACTTTATACCCGAAGTGCAGGAGCACCTGAAAAGTGTTGGCCTCCCACAAAACACCAAAGTTGTGCTGCTACTAGATAATAGTTCAACGTATCAACGAGGTGATGAGCTAGTAAATGGCAATATCATTGAGACATTCTTACCACCCAATGCAACTTCACTGATCCAACCCATGGATCAAGGGATAATTAAAAACCTTAAAACACCACAAGAGGATGTTTGCTAGACATCTTAATAATCAGATAGGAACAATTAAGGACTTTTATAAAGTCTTCACAATAAAGTCAGCTATCTGGACTATTGCTAGTGCATGGGATGAGATACAGTAAACACCACTAAGAAATGGTTGGGAAAAACTTTGGACCACGTCAAGTCTGTTTCCTGAGGAAGATGACGAGGCAGATTTGAAGGATTTGCGGCGAATAAAGTTAGCAAGAGGAGAAAAGAATTAAGAGAGGAACTTCTAGCCTATGTCAAAGGGATTAAGTTCCCCGAACTGAGAGCAGAATTGGTGACTAAAACAATAGAAGATGACATAGATAGGCGAATAAATTTCGACGAAGAAGCCACAATCAATTAAAACATGACCGATGATGAAATTATAGAACTAGTATGTGCAGGAAAAGAGCCAGAAGAGTGCAATGAAGAAGATGGAGAGGAAGAGGATGAAGAAACATTAAAGGAAAAATGTAATATGGAAAAAGTTCAGCAACATTTTGAAGGTATCCTGGCATTTATGGACATGAGTAACAGTGAGTTTGAAACCAAGGACATGATGAGCCTGTACAATTGGTATAAGAAGTTTTTGAAAACAAGATCAAATGCAATGAAACAAATGTAAATTAAAGTCTTTTGCAAAGGCTTCCAAGAAAGCTCACATTGCCTCACCTGCACCTGACTCATCACATGTTGACCTAGTCAACCCAACACCAACATTCACCACCACCTCTTCCATGTAAATAACTACTGTACTTCATCAGCATAACAAGTGGATCAGAACTTCTCTTATTGCTGAGCACAAACAAAATACTGCCGCATTTATGCTATGAATCTGTCGACTTCCCCCCCCCCCTAGATTTTTTCCCTGACATTTCTATTTTCCCCCACATTTCTAGTTTTTTCTCCCCATTTCTCGTTTACGAACTTGCACAATAACCGACGGGTCTCGTCCCCAAGGTGTTCGCCAACCAAGTGGTCCTCTGTATCAAGCGATTTGCATGGAAAAAAAAACATGACACTTACACTTATATGTAGATTTTCTAGCTCTACAAACTCAACTAATTATTTTTTTCATAAAGCCATTTATTGATTTTATAAACATTTTTATATACATAATTATGTTGCATAATTTTGTGGGAATTGTACATATTTTTATTAGTAAAACAACACACATATTGAATAAAAAACCTAATTGAGTTCCTTTACATGCTATTGTGCTAGCTGTCATTAAATACTAATTATCCTCTGGTCTGTCAGTGCCCACGAACCAGGCGCTCAAGAATGTTGACACAAAGTTATTTCGTGATTTTTTTTTTATGCCGAGGTCTAGTGGATGACTGGCATCCTGAGGGTAGCAACACAAGTCAGATTTAGCAGAAAATAAAAATTCTGGAGGTTATATATAAATGTACAAAATTGTGCTTAAATATTATAAGTAGTGCCAATCAATACTTACACTTTGTATGGGAGTTTGGGGTCAGAGGTCAGGGTGATCTTGAAGGTTACTTTAGTCCTGGAACACAATAAATGCATTACTTCTCTCTACACAAACTTTGCTCATGTATGACTAATTTTGCATTAATATTTTACACACACACAACTAAATAAAGATAATTCATGGCATACAAAAAAACGTACAGATAAAAAAGTAGCGAGAGTACTGTCCTACAAAGGTCTAGGTCTAACTTGGTAGGCCTAACTGTCTCTAGGAATTTTATACCCTGACATAATGGAACAAAATATTCCTGTAATAAATTGCACAGAATACCGAAAGACTATTTTGAGACCTTATTTAAAGCATCAACAAATAAGTTTAAAGCTTAAAAGTTTGCTACTCATTGGTCTTTTATACAAACATCATTACCTTCAATAATTATTCGTCCAGAACATATGGTGATACTCTCGAGATATAACCGAATAACTACAATTATTTTAACTAGAAGAATATTGGTGTCAAGTGTGTCATGATATATACAGTACTGTACTGCATGAAGCATGCTGCATTTTGTTTATATGAAAAAAGTAGAATAAAACAGTTCAAATTGGTGCAACCATACATCAGAAAGCCAATCTTGACAGTAGTTCAAAAACTGGCCCAAAACTTTCAGACTGTGACACCACACTGCTAGCAAACATGTTTCACTGAAATAATAACACCTGGACCCATATAGTCCAGGTGAATGGAATGTTTCATTGCTTTTGCAGTGCTAGAATAAGTTATTACAGCACTGTACTTTCTTACAATTGTGACGGAGTTCCCCCCCTTATAATTCTCCCATGCCTGCAGTAAGAGTCATGTCTGCTTTTCCCAAGCGTTCTCTACGTTGCAGGCTACAATTTGATATATGGGAGAGAGTGGAGTGTTCTCGGAGAGCCGAGAAATTTGTGAAATAGTAATATTTTGGCCTGTGGTTTAGGCCCTTTAGGGAGCCAAGATGGCGCTTACCTCTCTGATCTCCCGCCAAAACCGTGTGACGTCAGTGGCACCGGATTGGTCACCGACAGCAAGGTGGCACCGAGAGCCAATGAAAACCTCCCATAGTAAAAGTGACGTCACGAAGGAAGGGGGTCCGGCCAGCGCGCCGGGCTGGCGCCAGCAGTCAGACACGACACGTCATAGAGGTCGGACGTGCGACGAGTGGTCCTGTCTGTCGGACAGCTGTTTCCCACTACCGTGGATTTACGCGTCACCTGAAGTCCGCCAGTACTCTGAGAAGTCTTCCCTAGTTCATGTGTTGAACCAGAAGAGGGAATTGACGGTTATTTGAGCAACAAGTGCTCCAGTCAGGTACTGTGCCAGTAGCAGTGAAGCCGTGCAGTGACGTATGTTGACGCCTGTGACAATTCACCAGTTCGTGACAGCGTAGTGGCTGACAGAGCCACTGGGTAGCTGAGGAAGAGAGGACTATTTGGGGAACCGGACGACTGTAGCCGAGACGTAGGCGACAGCCGTTGCTGGGAGAAGACGACGGCCAGGAGACCGACTCCAACCTTCAAGAAGTCAAGGAGGAGGACGGACCTGCAGTGAGGAGGCACGGAGACGACGCGCTAAACGGTGGGACGACGTGTAGTGTGGGGGCGTTCCCGACACGAGGACCAGGAGCTACATCTCGACTCTCATCGGAGGATAGGGTGAAGTAGGTGGTTCTAGTTCCCTCCCCATTCCCCTTTAGTTAGCTATATTATTTGGCTATATTATCTAGCCTGAAGATTTTATATGTCGTGAGCAAGTCTCGCCTATGTCACGGTAAAGCACCAGTGTGCTAGACAGTACTATCAAGAGTACTTGTAATATTCATGTTGATTATTGGTGTGTACAGACACCAGGAACCAGTGATAAATTTACTGTGTTGTGTATATCTTTCTATAGATTTTGATATGAACATATAGTGGTAAATTATATACTGTATAAGATTATGCCAGTATTTGGAGGTTAGGCTATGTGCCCAGAAACTATTTATTTTCCATGTATTGATGATTGATTTATATACCATATATATGTCTATGTTCATTCAGTGAATAATCATTTGTGAGTACAGTGAATTATTGCGTTATCGCCCACGAGAGAAAGTACTGAAAACTCCCGTGTTAATATTTCATAATATATTGTTGGATAAATAACAGTGTAAGACCATTACAGTGAATCATTGTAGAATTGATTGTAGAAAAGACTGTTTGAGCCTGAGTACAGTGTAACTAAGTAATTCGGTTTATTTGTGCCAATATAGAGGTTATATTGAGGTTATATTGAGATGATTTCGGGGCTTTAGTGTCCCCGCGGCCCGGTCCTCGACCAGGCCTCCACCCCCAGGAAGCAGCCCGTGACAGCTGACTAACACCTAGGTACCTAATTTACTGCTAGGTAACAGGGGCATAGGGTGAAAGAAACTCTGCCCATTGTTTCTCGCCGGCGCCTGGGATCGAACCCAGGACCACAGGATCACAAGTCCAATGTGCTGTCCGCTCGGCCGACCGGCTCCCAATAGAGTGTGCGAGTTTCTAGTAATATTGGAGAATTTAAAGAAACCGCGCGCGTGAATCTAGCAAACAAGCAAATTTCGCGCGGAGAGTCCATTGCGATCAGCTGTTCTTGACACATACAGTATCCTAATAGCTAAACACCTCAAGGGCCTGAATCCAAGTGTGACAGCACCCAGTGGGACTGTATCCAAGAGTACCCCATAGGCCTGTACCCAGGTAGACGTGCTTCATCAGCCCAAATCCAATATGTTAAGGTTAGGTAGAGGTTTTACAGGGTCAGATGTACTGTACACTGTAGTATGAATTACACAGTCCATACAGTAATATAAAATAGAGGTAGTCTATATTCATGGGCATTACACATTTACCAGAGGTTTCTGGTATCCGTTTAAGAGCTAGGTTTTGAACACTACTCAACTGTGTGGTGTCAGGCTTGTCATAACTCATTTACACTTTGGTCAGATTCCAATATGTGAGCTTCATGTCCACTACAGTGGTATCTCACAGAAGCCAAAAAATCAGTTTTCCATCTGCCTGGTATACATTTTTGTGGAATGAAGACAACAATGATGATATAAATTAGACCCGCGATCATAACAACGTGTCTCACATGTATCTTCTTTTCAAAACTTCCTCTCCATGAATAACCTACTTGTTCCTTAAAGCCACCACGGTTTTATTTTCTCTATTCAGCCAATTAAAACTACATAAAACACTTAATTTTCCAAGCTGTCTTTATCCAACAACTATTATATTCACTACAGAAAGAATTAAATTATATACTGTACATATATATGATGGCTAAATTGACCCTCCAAACAGTGCAAGCAAAAGTAAACAAGAAGCAGATCAAACAAACTCATCCAAGCTTCATCATGGGGATACAAACAGCAGGATGATGATGCTGTACATCAGGTCCTCACCCTCTAGTTGACACTAAGATTTATGGTAAAGTGCAAAGTGACATGATATTGAGGTTTTACAAAGACATCTATGTGAACACCACAAGTGGTTGGAAGACTGGCAAATGCTTTTTAATACAGTATTGAAAAATGCAAGACCTTTATATGTGGGGGCATAACAACCCGTGTCACAACTACCAAATTAACATTACCTTGCAGTAGATTGATGAAGAAAAGGACCTTGGAATTAGAATCCACCAATCAATAAAAATTGCACAAGTGGGAACTGAAGTATAAAAAAAAAAAAAAAAATGGTCAAACGAAACGATTTAAACAAAAAGAAGGTATATACAGTAGTTATTCAATTATATAAATCTGTTATGCCCCCCAAATGAATTATTCTATCAAAGCATGGAGACCTTATCTTCAGTAACCTGCTCTGGAGAAAAGTCCAACACCAGGCAATAAAAGTCATTCCTAAACTAAGTTAATTCATATCAGGAATAGTTGAGGGCCACAGGACTAACAAGCACTGAGGTAACTTGTAATGAGATATTCGATGCTAAAAAAGCGGCAGCTTTATTGTTCCAGGGAAGAATGGAGTAACGTATGACATTTTTATTTATTTAGCCAGTATGAAACATAGTCCCTTACTTGATTTGTTTACCTTGAGTTATAGGGAAGGCAAGTTACCAAGAAAATGGAAGGAGACTGTCATCATTCCTATACCCAAGTCAAATGGAGGCTACAGGCCTGTATCCTTAACACCCTGCTTTTGTAAAATGATGGAAAGGATCTTGTTAAATAGGCTACTCTACTTTGTAGGAGATAACATGTCCAATAACGAACAAATCCACAAGGGCTGTGATGAGGATTCGAACCTACATCCGAGAGGATCCCAGACGTGCCTTAATCGACTGTGCCATGACATGGTTAAAAGAATTGCAATCGGGAATTCTACTAACCTCACACGGATCCTGCAGTCTCTTTGAGAGACAAACCAGGATTTTACACAATTCCCCGCATGCACCCGGGCTCTGTCAATAAGCTGTTCTACCTCTCTGCACTTACTTCAAGGCACGTCTGGGATCCTCTCGGACGTAGGTTCGAACCCTCATCACAGCCCTTGTGGATTTGTTCATTTGATGCATCACGCTATTGTGATTTGTGTGTGTAATGTCCAATATCCCCTTTGGTTTTATCCAGGGAAAAAGTACTGCGGACTGTCTCAAAGTGTTTGTCTGATGTGGATGACAACTGAAGAGTTTTGGTTGATCTACAAGGAGCATTTGATAAAGCCAATGGGGAAGTAATCTTATACAAATTAGCCTAACTGGGAATATCAGGGAGATTGCTACATTGGATACGAGATTATATACAAGGGAGAAAAGGTCAGGTGTACTACCAAGGATACATGTCTGAGGAAAGGAGGTTTCAGTTAGGTACCCCTCAAGGGAGTTTTAAGTCCCACCTTGTTCAGTGTAATAATGAACAGATTATCATTAAAGATTTATCTTCCAGGGGTCAAAACGATCATATATGCTGATGACATTCTTATACTGTACAAGATACTTCTGATAACAAAGTTCAAACTGCTCTTAACATACTTGGTTCAACCTGTCACAAGTTGGGATTAGTTATAAATGCAGACAAAACTAAATATGAGTACAGGAAACAAAGAAATATAACTCTTACTCTAAATGGTAAGGAACTGAGCCCTGTTCAGAAGTACAGTACAAGTATCTGGGCATGTATGTTGGATACACACGTGAGGGTAAAAATGCTGAAATAAATCATATCAGCACCTTGTGTAAAGCCTGAATGCATCCTCTAAAGGCGCTAGCATTTTCTGGTAAAGGTGTTGGGGTACCTATCTTGTGGATGTTATACATAAGCACTGTTCGGTCCTGTTTGATTATGTAGAGCCCATTTTGACTTACACAGGGCAAGGCAGAATAAAAAAAACTAGAGTTGATACAAAACGAGGCAATGAGGATTATTCTTGGATGTCAAAGAAATGCAATGATTGAAATAATGAGAATGGAAATAAATTTACAGAGTGGGTATGATAGTCTGTGACATTAACACTAGAGTATCTATTCGTTTCATGCGGAGAGGAGGGGATAAGCCGTTTCACAGCGTTTAGAATTGCTTGAGTGACATACACACACATTTCCAGGAAATGGAGAGACATGCTACACGAGGGGGATTAGCTAATGCCTTCAGGGAATACAATGTACTTGACTGCTGCAAACCCTCTCAACAGTGTAATAGGTCTGCTCCCTGGAAAGTACAGAGGATAGAAGTCAAAATTGTACCCCTCAAGGTGAAAAAGATTCAGCATGAACCGGGACAATTACGGTGTTTGCTTGAAAGCATGATATCTTGGTTAAAAAAAAAGAAGCAATAGTTTACATGTATGTTGTGATGGGTCAGTGGCAGATGATGACAGGGCAGGGTGTGGTGTCCTAATAAGGGAATACAATGAGTTTGGAACTGTGGACAGGTAAATTGTACTAATAGTTCGACCTAGTAATTATACATCATCCATACAAGGTGAACTGAAGGCCATTCTGGTTGGTTTGGAGGAAGTACGTCAAGATGAAAAAGATGTTTTTGCATTTGGTGATAGCCGAGGAGCACTTGATTCCTTAAACAGTCAAAATCCATTAATCATGTCCATAGTTAAAGATTGTAAAAGAGGATGAGATACAGTTGAAAGGTTACAAAGTGAAATTCATGTGGATCCCATCTCATGTTGGAATAATATGGTGTCTATTAGCCTTGTTTAAATTACTAATCAAGCTGTCAATGTAATCAATAAGAGCTTAAATATAACAATATGCTTTAATATACCTACTTATCTCTCTCATCTCATTTTTCTCTTGTAATGTATCTTTATCATTTATCAATTCTGATTGAAATTACCTACTTAAAATTATCTGCTAGATTAAAGACCTGCCCGAAACGCTGTGCGTACTAGTGGCTTTACAAGAATGTAAATACTGTACTATCCAATGTATTCTCACAAACCCAATGTACCTTCTTGTATATATATATAAATAAATAAATAAATAAATAAATAAATAAATGCTTAACGAGGTGGTGGATGACTTAGCGAAATGTGCCACATCAAAACCACAAGTTGACATTGAATGTGTTTTAACAATGAGACAAATAAGAACCAAAATTTGAAATATTCAGGCACAGGCAGAAGTGGCGAGGAGAGGTATAAAGTACGAGGGAAGCCAAACCATGCAACACTACATGTGAGTCAAAACACCCATTTCACTTTCACTTATGGTAAAAGGAGAAATGCTTGGAGTGACTGAACACATGCAGCTCAGGTTTGGTGCAAATACTACTGGGAATATGGAATAGGTGTTAATGATAATGACACCAAGTGTAAACTATGTGTTATGTTAAGGTCTCACACCCACACCTATTATGTTCTTGATTGTCCGTTGATTAATGTATATAGAGACATCGATAAGAAATGTTCCTGAACAAATAGCTTGGATGTGTCACAATAGAAAGACTGATGATATTCTGGAGAGAGAAGAATTTTTCACCGAGATTGTAACTTTGTTGAATTGTCTGAACAATTCAGGTAAGGTAAACATGTCATATAGACATGTTTACCTGCCCAAGCCATAAATGCCAAAACACTGTTGAATTTCAAAATTCAGCTCAATAAAAACCATCAGGATAAATAGGGGAGCCTTTGACAAGCCCCTGGCATCCTGTTCTTGTTGAGGCTACTACATAAAAGTGGTCCTCGGTTAAATTTAGTCCGGTAGTACAGTCTGGTTTGTTCTCGACACAACTGAGAATTCTGGATCCGAATCCCAGGCAGGACAGGAAATGGTTGGGCACATTTCCTTTCACCTAACATTGAGTAGGTACCCAGGACTTATGTCAGCTTCTTGTGGGGTTACATCCTGGCCGGGGTCAGCAATTCGGCCTTGATGGGGGGCAGGGTCAGCAATTCGGCCTTGATGGGGGGCAGGGTCAGCAATTCGGCCTTGATGGGGGGCGGGGTCAGCAACTTGGCTTTGAGGGAGGGCGGGGTCAGCAACTTGGCCTTGAGGTGGGGCGACCTCAATAAATGTGTAACGTGAATGAAATACACTCTGGCTTCCTGCCCCCCCCCCCCCCCGACACAATGAATTATTATTATAAAGTCAAGCAAATTCAAGTCGCCACATTATACTCGAGATGGTTCACTCACAAATTTTATATCTTACAAAACCTAACATAACTCATTTTCTAACTGTCAAAACAAACAGTTTTTGACAATTAAAAAACCTAGTCATGTCAAAAATGCCAGTGTATAATTTGACTGTACCCCACACCCACCCACTATATGTGTTCCTCAAATATATTATATGTTGTAAACATAAGAGGTATATATGCTGGGTAGACAAGGCTGGTGTGAGCAAGTATGGTGTACAAGAAGCACCAGATGGGTTCACCAGCCGGGATATTCCCACATCACCAGCTATCCCCCCAGCTGGTGCCCAGCTCCCTGGTGCCCCCAGGATACCCTCGACCCAAAGAGAGTGTAGAGAGAGGCGGCCCTAGGGGCACGGAGAGCAGCAGGAGAGGCTGAGAGACTCACGTCATGGTGGACCAGCGGCGTGACAGCTGGTGTTTACCTCCTCCAGGTGGCCGGTGTCTCCCCCCGCCGCCGCCAGGTGGCTCTCGCTGTCACCCGCCCATAACCTTATATTCTACCTACACAATAGTCTTAATAATAGTATAACAAAATATATATTGTTTATTTATACAAACAAAATTATACAAACAAAATTAAACACGAGTTAGATCTTACATTTTAACTTTACAAGATAAACTGAGTCATCAGACTGCATCCGTCCAAACATTTTTACCTCAATTTACCTTATTTATTTATTTATTTATTTATTTATTTATTTATTTATTTATTTATTTATATACAAGAAGGTGCATTGGGTTTGTGAGATTACATACCATAGTATTTACAATCTTGTAAAGCCACTAGTACGAGCAGCGCTTAATCGAACAAATAATTTTAAGTAGGTAAATTCTAGCAGAATTAATAAAATGATAACAGATACATTGCAAGAAAAAATGAGATGAGAGCTAAGGGCCTAAGAGCCATCATCGCTAGAGGCCTCTTTTATTAACTCTATGAACACTTTTCCAGTGTTCATATGCACAATTGTTGTGCAACTTTCAGTGAATGACGGATTCTGACTTCAAGGTATTTTTCTTCATCAACTGGCTGCAAGGTAATGTTCTAATAATGTGTAGGTTGTGTTTGGCCTATTTCTCCTATTCCACGTTCCACAACGTATAATTTATTAACATTAAATTCTATTTGCTAAATGTTGCTCCATCCAAGTATTCCAATCGTCCCCCCCCAACACCACCCCAGGCTCCTCGCCCACCATCACCACCCCAGGCTCCTCGCCCCGCATCACCACCCCAGGCTCCTCGCCCCCCATCACCACCCCAGGCTCCTCGCCCCCCATCACCACCCCAGGCTCCCCGCCCCCCAACACCACCCCAGGCTCCTCGCCCACCATCACCACCCCAGGCTCCTCGCCCCCCAACACCACCCCAGGCTCCTCGCCCCCCATCACCACCCCAGGTTCCTCGCCCCACCACCCCAGGCTCCTCGCCCCCCATCACCACCCCAGGCTCCTCGCCCCCCATCACCGCCCCAGGCTCCTCGCCCCCTTCCCTAACCCTGACGAATTACTTCTTCCAGAACTTCCGTAAAACAGTTTAAAAATATTAAAAAGAAAAAAATTCATACAGAGTTAGGAGCTTGAGAGAAGGGAGGGCAATGGGGGAGGGTGATGGGTAAGGATGAAGGGTAGGCAAGAGGGGTTAGTTTAGTTCATTTATTATACACCCCATACCCATCTTGTGGGCGGTAGTGGAAAGGGTTACAGAGGCACATAATGGGCTCAGGGACTGAACCCCACAATTCATTTAGCTAAGCAAATTACAATGTTGATGAGCTAGTTACAAAATTCAGTATAAGTCGTCACATCAACAATGGGTTCGAGATCGACCTCAAGTACAGTTTCTAAATTAAGCAACTGATAAATGTGGAGAGCCTAGTGTCACAATTGATATGTTTGTCCTGCACACCGCCCCCCATCCAGTGGGCAGCGGTGGATAGGTTACAATCACTCAGTTACTACCTACAGTTAGCAAACTGGGGATATTTGGCTAAAATTTCTGGTAGCAGATCATTTTGAATGAAATATTTACACATCGCTGGAACATTGGTTATAGAATTGTCTCTGAATTCACGTATCTTTTCGCATTCCATCACATAGTGACGGAGGGTGTGCGAATAATTTTGTTGACAGTTTACATTTGGTCAGGTCTACATCAGCAGATAATGAGAATTCCCAGAGATACTTGTAACCGAGTCTAAGCCGAGCAGTAGTAACATCTAGGAGTCTGCTGATTATATTGGATGAACCATAGATGTGTGGCTCCTCTTGCACGATAGTATGATGATAGATGGAATTACTGATGTCGAGTTCACTTTGCCTCAGATCTACAAATTCTTGTTGAACTTCTGGGTGTACTGCTGCTCTCAGTTTGCTCATTGACATTCCAAGGTTACACTCAACGGCTCCTTTAAAGGTAGACTCTTTGGCTAACTTATCAGCTCTATCAAGCATTCGGAGGCCAACATAAGATGGAGACCACATGAAATGGACTCTGTTACCATCCTTAATAATTTTGTTGTATTTGTGTCTAGCTTCGGACACGAGCATGTTACAGTTATGTCTTAAAGAATTGAGAGCAATTAAGGATAAGGAGTCACTTACAGCATTGATGAGTAAATCTTTGAAAATTTATTTATTTATTTATTTAGGCATATACAAGAAGGTACATTGGGATTGTGAGGATACATAATATGGTAATTACAATCTTGTAAAGCCACTAGTACGCGCAGCGTTTCGGGCAGAAACGTCTCCAAAGAAAATTCTTTGGAGACAACTCCTAACCTATACTTCTCCTCAAGGTCATGCTTTTTATTAATAGATTTAAGTATCCCCTTTGTAAGCTATAGATTGTTTAGCCTTTTAGTTGTGACTTGTTCAGTTAGCATAGGACAGTGGGTGTTATAAAGGCTGAGAGTTTTCTGAGGAAATGTTTGTTTATTTAATATTTAGAGTTTACCGGAGCTTCGAGCTTATTCGACTTCCATATTTATTATTAGATCTCTGGGGGTTTACTAGAGTTCCAGGTGTGCTAGAATTCTGGGTTTACTGGAACTTCGGGGGTGCTGTAACTTTGTGTCTATTGCAGTTACTGAAGAAAATATGCCGGCATTATTACGTTTTCTCTTTTTTCAGAAAAAATCTTAAAGGAGAAACTATTGTAAAATATCTGATTACTCCTCCCCCCCCCCTCCCGCTTAAGTTTCCTTGGTGGCTGATATTACTTATAATTCTCTATGTCGGGGATAGAATCCCGGTATTCAGGGCCGGATCAAGACTTTCTTAGGCCTTGGGGACCTCCTAAATATAGGACCAGATTTGACAGCATATACACTAATGACACACACAACCTCTGGCACTGCCGCTAACTAAATTCAATAGATTTTCTCATCCATTGGCACATTCCTTGCAAATGAAATCCCAGCATCCCTAACTAATGTTAATGACTACCTCACAGGCAGCTATCCTGAATCTCTCTACGTAATTCCAACTAATTCCTCAGATGTTAATGCCAGTCGGGTTTGTTCTCGTTTGTTCTCGACTCACAATCAAGAATTCCGGGTTCGAATCCCGGGCGGGACAGAAATGGTTGGGGACTTACATAGCAACGATTAGTCGTTGAGATGTAAGTCTCATCCTAACCACAAACTCAGACTTTGACAAAGCACTCAGGAGAGTGCGAAAGACTTGGTGCAAACACTACTAGAAAGTTCATTTTCCTGACTGTTCTCTGTCATCGATACTTCATGTTCTTCCTTACTTTCTTATACGCCCGTTTCACTCCATTTCACGTCCCGTTTCACTACCATCTTCACCCAGTCTACCCTCCATAGCTAACTTTTCTCATGCTTCAATCCTCTTGTCTAGCTTTTTTGATGTATTCCAAGATTTGAGTACCAACCTCAGAGTTCACTATATTGTCCCGAACCTTATTTCCACAAGGGTTCATTTTTTTCAGCTGCATTACCTACCGTCACTAGGCTCGTCATAATTGCAACCCGTTCTCGCAAATTTAATAAGTCAATATTGACTTATTAGTTGCGTGCATAGGTGACATACTAAACATAATAGTTTCCCTTGAAAAGCTTCATAGAAAACACCGACCTTGCCTAACCTACTTATTATGTTAAAATAAGCATCTTATAGCATCGTAATTACAATTGTTACTTAACCTATTATAGGTTAGGTAATAATTGTAATTACGAAGGGAAACTATTATGTTAAGTATGTCACCTATGCACATATTTAATAAGTCAATATTGACTTATTAAATTTGCGAGAACGGGTTGCATAATTGTCGCCGTTTCTTTCTCCCGGACGTTGGTCATAGGAGCTGTCGTTGGCTTTCCGTCGTTTCCCCCTTGTTCCTGCTGCACAATCTTTACTTTCTTCGGAGCTACATCTATCCTGCTTGTAAGACCCGGTCTAGAGGGTCTTACAAGCTTTTTTTTTATTTTTTACGAATTTATTGAATTTATTGTTTAGTATGGAGACTAGAGCGTCTTCCCTAATCTTCGCATTGCTATTCATATAATGCTAACCATCACCAGCTGTGAGATCAGTCGGCAAGTTATAACCAATACTTTCGTATATGAGAGCTTCCACAGGTCGAGGCAACGCGTGTAGAACTTTAAACAAGGAGCAACGGTGTCAACCTCTAGCCACAATCTAAGACCGAGAACAAGACAGACTTTTTCATCCACAGGGTTATACATCAATGGAACCGCCTACCCGCTTAATTCGCAAATGGCAAAACTAAATTTAAAAATCCAACTGGAAAAGATAAATGCAAAGGGAAGGGATATGGAAAACCTCCGACAAGCCACCGGCTTCCTGTTCCCGAAGACGCCATTAGTGTTTGTGGCCCTCAGGTAAATTGAGGTAATCTTTGTTAAGCGTAGTTTAGTTTATTTCAGCTATTATGCACCCTTTACCCATCTTGTGGGCAGTAGTGGAAATTGTTACAGAGGCACATAATAGGCTCAGGGACTGAAACCACACTATTTAGCAAATAACTTACAATTTTTATGAGCTAGTTACAAAATTCAACACTGTCACAACACTGGGCTCGAGATCGACGACAAGTACAGTTTCTAAATTAAGCAACTGACGTGTGGAGAGCCTAGTGTCACAATTTTATGTTTGTCCTGCACACCGCTCTCCATCCAGTGGGCAGCGGTTGTCAAGTAATTATCAAAAGGTACCAAGCCGAGAAGGCTATGTAGCACTATCAAATGTGCGGAATAATCAGAGGGCGCTAAATATCACCAAGGATGCCAATATGAGAACAAAAGTGCACAAAGCGAACGATATCAAAAGTATCTGATTCACTAAGGATTCTACTGAAAGAAATGACCGCGAGGGACGGTCGGGAAGCAAAACACGCTCGCCCCGGAAGTCAGGACATTCAACAAGGATATGCACAACTGTAAGAGGGACAATGAAGTTTGGACACTAAGGAGCAGGGCGG